AATAACAATAATAATAACAAAAAAGTTATTGTTATTAATAACAATAACTATTTTTGTTATTTGTTATCGATAATAATAACTTTTTTTGCTATTGTTATTAATAACAATAACTTTTTTCAGAAAGTTATTTGTTATAAATAGCAGGTAAATAACAAATAACTTTTTTTTTGAAAACTCAGTGCGAAGTTTCTGTTGATTGTATCACATGAATCAGCACTATAAACGTTAGGGAATCGTTCCAAAGCATACGCCCACCTAATGGGTACAATTAATATATACAGGGAAGTGAGACAGGATCTTTTCCAGAAAAAAAAGTTATTTGTTATTTTTCTGTTATTTATAACAAATAACAAAAAAAGTTATTGTTATTAATAACAATAACAAAAAAAAGTTATTGTTACTGATAACAATAACAAAATAGTTATTATTATTAATAACAATAACAAAATAGTTATTATTATTAATAACAATAACAATAAATTCTCACCCCTAATTTAGATCCATAAAAATCTCAATCTTCGAGATCTTTTTTTTTCAAAACACACCTGTTCAAAAACTCTTTGATGAAGTAAATGATCTATACGAAAAATTGTTATGTCATCGCTAGTGTGTTGTGGAGGTCAAAGATGTTTCACCCTAATTCGATGTGCAAATGTAATGGACGATAACTGTACATGGAAAAATTAAAAATTCGAAATATTGAAAAAATAGAGTGTTATTTTCTCTAGACTGAAAGTCTATATTCTACACCACGGAAATTACTTCATTCTTGCCCGTGTGTCCGACTATCTGTCACTCTTATTTTCTATTGTTGACCTTTTCCATATTTGTATGAGAACTGACAGAAAAAAAGACCTACCATTTATCTGTAAACGATTTATCAAAAAATTGAATTGACCATCAAACATATGAACATCAAATGATGGAAACATCATAACTTGTATTTCATTTTTTGTTGTGATTGTTGCTGATGATGATTGAGATGTGGAGGCTTCGGCAGCCATCGTCGTAAATTGTTGTTATCTAAAATAAGTGTCGTAGTCAGCGTTTTTAATAGAAATCTGAAACCAAGTATATGTAGGTACTTCGTTTCAGTTGGCAAAATATCCGTTGCTACTTTGTTATTTAGAACAAAGTACCTCAAAGTGCCATAGTAATGAACTGATTTAAGAAAGACAAAAACGAAGCTATTACCATGCAATCTTTTAATGAAAAATATGTTCCTATACAAAAAAAACCAATGTAGAAAAATAGATCTTATCAAAATTTTACTATTATAATATTAGTTGAAGTATGATCACATAGCATAGAAAAATAGAGCATTCTTTTCTCTTGAAGACTATATTGAGAGAAAGTTTCTTAAAGCTCTTTATAAGGAACTACAGTGTCACTATTATTACTTTTTGACGGCCCTATGTAATATCCGTAGCATCTCAAAAGAGATACTTTTTTAATTAAATATATAGCTATTTAAAAAAGCTACAGCTATTTAAAAAAATCATAGCTATTTAAAGTGTTTCGACTCTTTAAACCGGCAATAGAATCTTCAACAACATGTATTATAGGTGGTTGAGATTCGATTTTATTATCGTCTATTGCTTCATTCATGACATTTATTTTCTAGAAATATAATTGATAATTAGGATACTCACCGCATTGGTCGTGTGACAAACAGAAAAGAAAAAAACATTTATTGGTTAATTTTTTTTATCTATAAGTCTGATAGAACGAGAGATGGCGTACTTTTCCAAATCTACGAGAGCGATGAACTAAAAGAACTCATTCAAATTAATTTTTGAAGATCTTCATTCAAAAATAAAATACTAAAAAAATATGAAGAAAAATTCTAGTGATGTAGGATAATTTAGAATGAAAAGTAACACTTACACGAAAAAAACTATAAAGAAAAAATAAATAAAGAAATTAAAAAAAAATGATCAAACACTTAATCATGCCCGGTGTGAGCGAAAGTGTGGGTATAGCGTGAACCTGGGCGCTTGAATTTTAGTTCTCGTCACTAAAACTTCCATACCCACACCCTTTTTCTGGAAACCTGAATCATTCCACAAAATGCATTAAATGAATATTTGGATTTGTATGCCTTGTTATAAAATAAAAGGTCTGCTAATAAAAAGGAAGAAATTTTATAATATCACATTAAAAAAAATATATCACTCAAAAAGG